AGCCCTACACTTTGAATCCAAACCCGTTGTAAACCCCAAGCCCCTATACCCGAATCCCAAGTCTTGTGGCAGCTTAGGTCATATCGAGAGCACGGTGCAGGAGCTCGCTCGGACCAAGGCCCCGCGTTGCTGGGTTTAGGGATTTAGGGGTTAGGGTTTGCGGTTTAGGTTTTAGGGTTTAGGGTGTAACAGGGTTTGGGGGGTTTAGGGTGTAGGGTTTAATGCTGATAACTAGAACAACAACGCCGACAACGGCAACAACAGCAGCAGCAACAGAGAAGGAATAACATTTATGATATTGGTGGTGCTAGGAGCAGTAGTAGTAGTCGTCGTCGTCATAGTAGTAGTAGAAGTAGTAGTAGTAGTAGTAGTAGTAGTAGTAGAAGTAGTAGTAGTAGTAGTAGTAGTAGTAGTAGTAGTCGCAGTAGTGGTAGAGGTAGTGGTAGTGGTAGTCGTAGTAGTGGTTGTGGTAGTATAAGAAACATAGTGCAGTAGAACCACTAATAAAAGTTATGGCCACAGTGCTATGCCCATCATCATGGGTAGTAGTTTGTGAAAAGTAGTGCCGCATCTGACAGAAAATGTTCGAAAGCCCGGTACCGGTACACGGCTTCCCAAGTTGTCCCTGGGTCCACTCAAGCCCTGCAGCCCTGAAGCCCCCGAAGCAACAGGACCACACGCAGACGTTGCTGCGTCACGCTGCGAAGAGCTCCGGGCTGAAGGATCGCCCTTCATTTTGTTTGTGAGTTGGTGTAACTTGGACACTTACAGACCTGGTAGGATGGGCAAATTTCGGGTGTAGGATTTAAGATTGAGGGACTGTGGTCTGCCGGTTCAGTTTGTTCCATGACATCGCATGTCACACGCCGGCTCGGACTGCAGTTGCAGAGATGCAGTTTGTGATTGCTCGTTTTCACAACTTCCCATTGCTTCAAGCAGAACAGCTGTCACGAAGTCTCTATCTCTCCGACAGCTTACTCCGAAACCCTGTAAGCGTTAAACCCAAAGCCTATATATACAAGCCTACAGTAGAACAGACAGCCCAAACCCTGTTCTAAGTGGTGTTACTCTTCTTCTTACCCTAATTCCAATGGTTAAGGACCCCTAAACTCCTAAACCCTAAAGCCTAAACCACTCTTCTTCTTACTCTAATTCCAATGATTAAGGACCCCTAAACCCTAAACCCTAAAACCAAAGCAGCGTTTTTTCGAGCTTGCTGGCCAGGAGCGCTTCGACCAACGGCTGGGCGAGTACGGCGCCTCTTTGGCAACTTTGGGTTCTAGCCTCAAAGGGGTCTATACCTGGCTCCATTGTAGCTCTTCTTTGTGGTCTATATTTAGAATCCTGGAAGGTAATCCCGGAACTTGCCGTTTTAAAGGTAGGGTTTCTAGGGGTTTTTGGTTCCTTCAAGCGGTCCTTTAAAGGGGTCCATTGAGGGCTCCGTTAAAGGGGTTTAGGGCTGAACTTCGGATTCTGCCGATGCTGATGGATTGAGGGGTGTTGGGTGTAGGGTTTTAGGGGTTTGGGTTTAGGGATGTAGAGGGGTCGACGACGAGAGTCTGCTTGGTCCCTAGATGCTCTGAGCATGGCTTTGCCACTGAGCACCAGAGCGTTAGGGAGACCCCGGCTCTCTTAAAGGGGACCGTGTTGTCAGGATCTATATCCCCAAGGGTCCCCTTAATCCTGGCTCCCAAGACTCCCAAGTTGAGAGACTCTAAGGTTCAAGTTTGATTCTTTCTTCAGCAGGAGCCTTCTGGGCGACCTTGCTCAAGCTCTGCGAGCAATACTGCCAGGAGGCGACGAGTCGTACGGGCGAATATATGATATAGGGGCCTGAATAATTACAAATACTGTTCCAATTCTTAAAGCTCGTATAGCATCTACTTGTGACATGTGACGGTTCTCACACTCTCTCGCTCTCTGTGTGCGTTTGTCTGTGTCTCTCGCCGTGTCTTTGCCACTCACTGGCTTTGGTGAAGTCTGCGCAGAGGATAGGGTGACCGACTGCACTGCGCATTTGTCGCAGGACCCGCAGGATCCTTTGCTAAGCTTTTGTCCACGAAGAGTTCGCTCTCCGTAGCTCCAGGCGAAAGGAGCAACCGTGCTAGTCTCCATGGGTTCTCGCAGTTCTGACTCTGTGCCTAAGCAGCCAGGCCATTTTCGTGGCCTTCCCAGCACGCAACCATCTTCCCTTACGTGCTCGGAATCCACCGCAGGTCCAGCCGGAGCTGAATAAGATGATGGTGGATGTTCGAAACGCCGAGGCGTCGGGGGCAGACTGCAGCCCTCGGACTCAGAAACGGAATTCCGGTTTTGGGGGACCGTCCAAGCGATTCGGCAATCCAAGTCCAAACACATCCTGACACCGGATATGCTGAGACTGTGCGCTTGACGGGCGAAGTTTTTCCGAGACAAAGCTGCACGTAGAGACACACAGAATTGATAATGCTAGTACAGTCGGAACACCGTAAACCCAGAAAGGGACCCTGAAACCGGTCAGCCCGTTCTCTATTCCACCGCCAGCTTTCTGTAACCAGTACAAGGGCCACTTGCAACAACTGCGGCGACAAAGCACGACAGTCAGTCCCGCCAAGACTGACCATCCCGGACATGGAACTGTCAATAAAATTTCCCCCTCGTGAGAGCTTTCTGGGACTCGGCAGAAGCACTAGAACCCTGAACCCACCCGAAACACGAACATTGCAATACCCATAGTACACCCCCCCCAAGCCCCAAACTCCAAACGAAGCCGGACTACACCAATACCACAGTACCATCGGGCCCTGTTTAGGGGTTTAGTGCTGATAGGGTTCAGGGTGTAGGGTAAATCCCTGTAAGCCCTACGCCCGATCAGCACATCAGCACGAAGAGGCGGCCGCAGACGCCTTTGCTGCCGGTCACTAGCCTGCAATGCTTCCGTTTCTATAGGGTCGATTAGGAGCCTTTAAAACTGGAAAGGGGTTCCTTCAAAGGTTTGTATGATAAGGGCGAAACCTAGGGGCTTCGGGTTTTCGGTGGAAAAATTCATTATTGGGTGGGTTCGGAATAAGTATTAATGGACTAGTGACTAGTAGTACCCCTTATAGATCCTTATAGGCAAACATCTCTAAACCCTATGCCCCTAAAGCCCCAACCCAAACCCTGAAGCCCTAGAGAAGCCTGAAAGACCCCTTTGAAAGGGAACCCTTCAAGGACCCTAAACCCCTACACCTCTAACCCCTAAACCTCTTCCGCCTAAACCCTACACCGCCGGAACCCTGCACCCTGAACCCAGAGAACCCAATACCCGTTAATTAAGGGATATACCTGAAATCATGACAATAAGGCCGCTATAATTTAAGGTCTATTCCCCGAATTAAGGTGTCTTGGGGGCTCTCTGGGAAGCCAAGCAAGTCTCAGGTCTCGGCCCTCGTCTCGAGGAGGCGTAGCAGTTGCAGCAAAGATCTTCGGTTGAGGTTTGAGAGATGATACCAGTCTCAGGCAAATCATCGCAGAAATAGACGTCAGCGGCCGTGCCGGAACTGCACAGAAGCTCCACCACTGAATCTACAGCTCGTCTTGCCGCTCGGGTGCCCGCTGAACGGGAAAGGACAGTCGTCACCTTCGGCCTCAGAACGCCTCAACCTAAACCCTACCTGAACCTGGGTTCATTGTCTCCTTATATAATAATAATAGAAATCCATAAAAGACCAGGTTTTTCAAGGTCCAGGTCAATCCCCAACTCCATCTGTCACGAGCCTCTCCGCTCTAAGGAACCTCATGAACGAAACCCTAAACTCTAAAGCCCCTAGCTCTAAACCCTGAAAGTCCCCAACTCTAACGCCCTAAACCCTAAACCCCGAAACCCTAAGCCCTAAAGCCCTGAAAGCCCTAAACCTGAAACCCTGCAAGCCCGAAACCCCTAAACCCTTCAAGATGTTTTATGGGTAGCCTTATAGACCCCTTTTAAAGGAACCCTTCACGGACCCCTCTGTGGGAGGCCTGGTCTATCTCGGTCTAAATCCCCCGAGCCCTCCAGACTGTAAGAGCCACGGGGCGAAACTGTGCGAAGGTGGCGGTCCTGCGCCAGCCGGGTTAGTCTTTACTGAGAAGCGCGCACCCTTCGCATGAGCCGGTCACTGAAATATAGGAGCTTTAGTAATAAATTCGAATAGGGTTTTGGGGCCCATTATACAAACGATGTCATAAGGAACCCCAAAAATAGTATGGGTTGATGATTGAGGCCCCTGTATTATATCGCAGTGTGCTCGAAAGAGCTGCCTTGCTCTCCATGGCCCCATGGCGCAGCAGACCCCAAAAACAACCAGTAGAAAGCAGGGCCTAAAGAGCCAGAACGGTGTTGAGGTGCATCATACTCTACCATAACTTCAGGGAGCTCTAAAGGATGCGATTACTAATCACAAAGTACTATACGATGCCTCCTTTAGGAGCTTCGGGCCCTGCAGAATGACTTTGACCTTGACTGTGCCATGGATGCCTCTGCTAGTGACCCATGAGTCCGGCTGTTAAGGCCAGTCCCATGCGACTATAGACTGACGTCTGCCGCCAGCAAGCATGTACAGCGCTGCAGGGTTTCGTCCTCGTGAGCAGTGTTAGACCCTAGACCCCAAAGCCCTAAACCCTAAAGCCTGAACCCCAAACCCTTAAACCCTAAACCCCTGAACCCTTATACAAACCCTAAACCTCACTTCCCAAGTTGTGGTGGGTGTTGGCGGAGCGATTGTTTTCCTGCGAGCTCGAGACCTGCAAGCACCCCTCTTGCTGCCCGGCCGGCACCCAATTCTTGTCAGGAGAAAAGGGCTTTTCATGTTCAACCATTGCTGGCCTGGTGGGATTAGGGTTGAGCTTTACGTTTTTGGGGCAGCTCGACTGTTCAACCAAGGCTGGTAGAGCTGTTTGCACTTGATGCGAACTGGAGCTTCGCAGCGTCACCTCACAGCAATCTGCCAACCTAGAGACTCCAAAGTTGTGGAGTCTATAGGCCTATAGGAATCTGGAAGGCTGGGGAACCAGCTGGCAGCCCGCGACAGATGATGCAGGTGGGGGGGAGAGCCGGATCCTGGGTTGCTGTTGAGGAATTCGAATCAGCTTAGTATAATAAGGAAACCCTATTAAACCCTATTTATGGTAGCTTAAAAAACTAGAAGTTCCTGAACAGCAACCCAGGATAAGGGTAGTCCGACCCGGAGCGATATTCACTCGTCAGTTAGGGCCAAAGCTCGAAGCTAGGGCTGCTGCGAAGGAGAGCCCTGCATGCCCGTGGTTGCGAAGACGATAATATACCATGTCATACTACAATGTAATACCGTACACTTTAACTGTAATGTAGTATAGTAAATAGAAAAGAGTATCGTATCATATAAAGACTTTTTGCAAATCTTCAGAGCTTCTCTCACCGTGGCACGTGGGAGGTGCTGGTGGTTCATGCAGAAGCTCTCAAGCGACGACTGGAGACGCAACAGGCTCGCCCCAAATGGACGGTTGATGGAGGCTTCGCAATGTTCGACAGTCGCCGAACCCTAAACCCTAAACCCTAAACCCAGGCAGAGCGCGACAATCTGCGATTTCAGGCCGGTCGGGCCTTGGGTCCTTGATCATGTTTCGAGCTGCACGGACTAATGTTCAAAGCATAAAGCATGACATTCCAGCCGAAATGCGAAGACGTGAGTTTCCTGGCGGTCTGCTGTGAAGGAACCCTCAAAGGGACTGCGGAGACTGTATCCTCTCCTGCACTCTGTGCCGTGCGCCAGCTGCGTCTTCTCCAGCGCGACAAGTCTGAGCGGCAGCCTTCGTGGCTGGAGCAGCAGGTAGCGAACCTGGAGGCACTGGCTTGCAATGCTTGCAATGAATGGCAACGTCTGCGTGCATGATACAAAGATACTGTTGATGATACAAATCCTGCATTACACATAAAAAGCCTAAAGGTAATGCAGGATTTATATCAACAGTAGCGAGCTTCAGAAAGCTAATCGTAACGGCAGGTCGGAAGATGTCGGCAACATGGCAGTCTCAATGCTTCGAGTCCTACTCAACTGAGAACTGTAAGAGACACGACGAGGGCTTCTGGAGCCCTTTGGGCGGGTTCCCGAGGCAGATTCGCGACCTGCTCAGGCAGAAAATCGAAACAGCGCAGCCGTCCAAGACGAGTCTGATCGTGCCCTGATTGCATTTGTTCTGGTGAGGCTGCTCGCATTTAACTGCATCAATGTAATCATCATAGGTCTATTTTCATGTCCTCCAAGCTCTTAGCCAATGTCAGGCTTTGTCCTTGTCAGATTGCTTTTCTGCCTACATCCGTGTCCTTCCAGCCGCTCTTTCATGCCGGTGTGTCTCCACTCTAACATACTAGACGAGGCTATAGTATGCCATAGTGTTCTCTACTCTACTATACTATATTATACTATACACTATACACCTATGCACTATAAACGAATCACTTTTCACGGTATAGTATATACTAGACACTCTACTGTGTGTCATATACTATACGAATACGACTATAAAGTATATAGTGAATACTATACATCATAGTATGTTCTTATATCATTTTGTTACTATGTCACCATATTACGGCATTGCTATAATACTACATAATATCATATTGCATATCGCGCTTGACTTTTCTACAGGGAACTTTACATGACTACACTGTACTATGTTAGACCATGCTGTACTAGATTATATTACATCATGTTGTGTTATCTTACAGTCTATTATTATCCTGTTTCTGCTACTTGCCCTTCAGTTACAGTGGTGGCTGCGTGGGTGCCTTTGTTTGACTCTAACAGCTCTGCAACCCGGAATGCCAGACCTGCATCCCCACACCCCACGAAATTGTAGTTTCGGGTTTAGGGTCAGGGTTTAGGGTTTAGGGTTATGACCGCATAATTTTGGGGTTGTAACCCTCCAAACAGAAAATTTTTTGGATCCACAGGGAGAGACCAGGACCGTGAACCCTAAAGCCTGCAGGCCTCGCACGGCGGCTCAAGGCTGTGGATGCGGCTTTGGCCTGCGCCACAGACGGGTTTTGGGATTTTGGATAGAGGGTTGAAAGAGTTTAGGATTTCAGGTTTATACGGTTCCTTTAAAAGGGATCTATAGGGTTGAAGGTTTAGGTTTTTTTGTTCAGAGAATTAGGATTTAGGGGGTTCAGGGTTTCGGATTTAGGGTTTAGGGTTTGGGATTGAGGGTTTCGGGTTTCGGATTTAGGACACAAGTCTACAGTAGACCATAATACACGCCGAAACCTTATTCTAATTATGAAGACCGCTATATCACAGACGGCCGAGCTGGCAGCAACTGCATGCATTCTGAGTCCAATTCTGAGGCCGAACTTGATGCCGAGCCATCTAAGGCTCAGCTGCAAGTTGGAATGTGTCGGAGAGGAGAGAAGCCAACGCTGTCTAGAATATAGGGGCCTTAAAAATTAGAATAGGGTCTGGGGGTATATTATACTGAAAATATAGTAAGGAACCCCCAAAACCCTATTGTAATCTTTAAGGCCCCTTGCATTAACAGGAATTCTGCGAAGTTTGCTGCGATCTCATGTCAGACATATACAGTACCAGGCAGCTTGCACCGGTGGGGGAAGTGCATAAAGTAGACGGCCGGCAGGTGAAAGCTGCTGCTGAAGAAGCGCAGGTGCTCGAGGAGCCAAGCGACGTGTCGGGGGCAAAATCATGCAAAATCTCAACATGTGTGACGATTGGGCGTTGCTCGGTAGGCCTGAATTGCGTGAAGTGGGGAATGCACTTTGCATGGTTCTGTCATGTGTCTTCGAGATGAGTTGTGACCTCTCACGCATGTTGCTTCCGCATCTTTCGTGAGCTTGCAAGAAGCATGGCAAAAGCACTAATTGGCATGCTTCTACAGAGGCCTGAATGATTAAAATAGGGTTTGGTGTATATTATGCTATACTTGCAAGAAGGAGCCCCCAAAGCCCCATTCCGAATATTAAGGCCCCTACAATGCTGGTAGTTGAGGGCTGGGTAGTGAGTTTCGCACCCTTCCATTGGATACCCGGCATCGTTGCCTCAGCCTGCACGGGACTCGCACAGGCTTTCCAAACCATACCCAGATCCTGTCTGACAGGATTTTGGGACGAGTGGCTAGTGCTTTTTCGCATGTCATTTTCTGGCTGGGCGACAGCTTCCTTGCATGCAGTAAAGAGCATTTCGTTTCTCCAAGCCTGGCAACAGGCATGGGCTTTTTCATGCAGCCTTCATCATTCAAGCGCTGGGCGGGCTTAAAGCGCTTGTGCAGATGGTTGTGTTGCATTACGCGGGCACGATTGAGTGCGGACTGGTGGAATGCTGTGTGCCCACGGAGATGACCGGACATGTCTCGTACGATTTTGTTCAAGAGTATAAGGTTGCTTGCCGATATATCGAAGAAGCACCAACAAAGACAACCTAAACCCTAAACCGTAACCCCTAATCCTGTACCTGAACCCTAAGCCCTAAACCCGAAAGCAGGACGAAGACGACATTAACCTGGCTCGATGGGAGTGTCGCAACGTGGAGCGGCGGCTGGAGCAGGTTCCGAGGGCACAGGCATTCAGGGTTCAGAGTTTAGCGGCGAGGATTTTGGGTTGAGCTGTAGGGTTCTAGGGTTTTAGGTTTCAGAGTCGGGGTTTTGGGATTCGGCTTTAGGGTTTATGGTTGAGGCTGTGTTTGGTTGAATTTAAGTCTGACTGTAACAGTCTGGCGATGATCTAGAGAGCTTGGCGTGACAAGCGGAGGCAGTAATCCAGAGGGGGCTGTAGCACTACTATTATTTATTGCTGAAATAAAAACTTTGTCAAGCTGCGAAGGCATAGTAATAGAGGCTTTTCTCCATGCAGGTATTCTCTTCAAAGATGGCCCGTGCGCGTTGCTGGTTGCTCGTCGCTAGACCTTGTTGCAAGCTGCTGCTGCTGCTGCTGCTACCCTCATTGTAGTACAGTCCTCGCTGCTGTTATAGCAGCATCCTTCAAGACGGCGAGGCATTCTACCACCGCCATGACTATCACCACTGCTAGCACTGATTGCTTTGATTCCGATTTTTCGAGGTGACTACTCCTACGTACACTTTTTCAGGGTTTTGCACCACCATTGTTACATTTGGTCCTCATCCAGCAACGACAACAACCATAAGCGCAACATCTATTGCGCTACTACTACTGCGACGACGAGACTCCTAATCCTGGTCTTACTCCTGCTCCAACTACTCCTACGACTGCTGCTTGCTGTTACTGCTACTAGTACTACCGCGACGACAACGACGACGAGTGCTGCCGCAACATTCAGCATCGTTTCTACCACAACGACGACTGCGCTGCTGCTACAACAACCATAACAACAACCATGATGATGATGCTGATGATATTTCGGGCAAGAACTTGTCGACTCCCGACTCCTCTCCACAGTATAGTTTTTCCTATGTACCCTGGCTTGACGATGCCCATATCGAGCCGCACACCCGAAGAGGCCCGCAGCTACAACCGAGCGTTGATGGAGGAGCTGCTTGTTGAGCTTGGCTTCTCTTCAGCCTATAGTAAACTAGAGTGTCTCTTGTAGTAAGCCGAAGAGAACCCTCATCATGACCCGAAGAGTAAAACCCTAACCCCGAAAGCCTAAACTCAACCCTCATGACCCTTGTAGTAAGCATTTGGCAAGGCCGCGCTGTACCCCACTTGCTTCCGACCATCCTTAGCCCAAAGCTTCCAGTTCCATGAGGGTTTCGGGTTTAGGGGAGATACCCTGCTCTGCTCCGACTCGATGCTGCCCCCCGGACTGCAATGGATTTGCCGTGGATCCCCAAGGCTGCTAGTTGTGTTTATGACGTTTTGTTGATGTATACAGTCTTGCGATCTTTTACTTACTGTGCGAGAACCACAGAGGATGTTTATCAGACGGCAAGTTATCTGTTCGCCCGATCCGTGGCATCTCCAATCCGTCCAAAGACAACCTTTGTGGAATGTTGGGATGCAGGATCTGTGCAGGAAGAGGAACAGAGACGAACCGCATGCGGCTCAGACGACAGTGCGGCTGCAGCTGTGTTAACCCAGATCTTCCAAAATCTTTTAATTAAAGAATACACCATAATAAATTATAGTAGAATCTCCAGTATGATTCTAATGGGTTCTGGAAGATCTGGGAAGGCTAGCCAAGGCAGCTAGCTTCAGGCAGCCGCGCGGCGATGCTTCGAGTAGTGCGGGAGTAGCTGTTACGGGATACGGATGCTCTCTCGAGGTTTGACGTATCAAATTCCTGCGGGAAAGGCCCTTGTGTATTCTAGTGGAGGCACGCATAAGAAGGTGTGGCAAAACTCATCGGAGTTTGCTGTATAGTATATCATAGATCCATTACTGTAGATTAAGGCTAATACATGTACAGTTGCTCACAGTGTCCGGCTTCGGTAATTTATTAAGTAGTATATCGGTTCGACGCAAGGCTGGAAGAGGCATCGGCGGAGGAGGAGCCTTTGTTTCGCCTTTTTAAAGCCCTTCTTATCATAACTCCTCTGGATCTTGGGATTTAGGGTCTCGGGTTTGAGCAGTTTGGGGCATTTTACATCTTCCCTCATTGGTTGGAAGAGGATCTTATCCACGAGAATTTTGCAGGGTTTTAAAGGGCCAACCATGTCGTATACTAGAGCGGCTTATGAGGGCTTGTGGTATGAAGCCGTAAAGGGTTTTGTAAGGGCTCCAGAAGTTTTTTTGGGCTAAAACGTGAGTTGCATCCATTTTGGCTTCCATCTGTGCCGTCTGATGGGTCCGTTGGGATGACCACCTGAAACGCAAAATGCTTCGTGCAGGAAAGGGAGTTGAACGCAAGCAGCATACGACAATATACTATGTTTGCGTTGTCGTACTACTGTAATACTATATTATGTTATATTATGCTGAAATGTATTGTGTGAGATTGTGTTTCCTGCTTCAAGGCCATCGCACTTCACAAGGTGCCACAAGCCCAACACTTCATCCTGCAAATGCATACAAAAGCCTACGAAAGCACATTGTAATATTACTTATTGTAGTCACTCGTAGCATGATTGCATGATATGGAGTCACGTTATCGGAATTTATAGTACAATATACAAATGATAGTAGTATGATATACCCCCAAAGCCCTATTCTAGTTATTCAGGCCCTGAAGAATCCTTTCCCCAAACCCTGAACCCTAAGCCCTAAATCCCCAATACCCAACACCATAAACCCTTAATCAATCCTTATAGATCCTGCAACGTGATCTTATCCTGTCTTCTTCCTTTTGGCCAGGATCCTGAGATGGCAGACATGGTATCTCAGAACACGCAGACGCTGAGGAGGCTCCCACATGGAGTTTAGGGTTTGGGGTTGAGGGTGCGCTTCAGAGGAACCCAAATGAAGGCGGCACCCGTGTAAAAAGGACCCTAGCAGGGATCCTAAATTGGAGGGGCTACCCATGCAGGTTCTACCAGGGTTACTATACGGGGCACCATGATGGCACTAGTGATAGTAACCTGCTATTGCCCACAAGGTTAAGAATAAGACTATTAGTACAAGTTTAGGTGAAGTTTGGGGTGATTGCAAGGGACGTTGTGCTATGAAGGAATTTGGATCTCTGGGTTGAGGGTTACTATGAGGGGTAGGTTGGCGATCCGCATCCATGCTCTTTGCGCCCGACGAGCTTATCGTACCAAGCCTTCCTCGTGAGAAGCGGGTCACTCCACGGTTGGGGGTTTTGGGTTTGGGGCAGCTGCTCTGCGTCATTGGATGCATCATTGACTTCATGGCCATCACCCACTGCAATTGCAGGAGCTCGTACCCGTTGCATGTCATACGCTCTGCTTAGAGGAAGTCGCGTGTGTGACATGAGTTCTCGAAAACCAAAACGCCTTCTGGGCCACAGCTTGAAGTGGGTGGGACCTTAAACCCTAAACCGTAGCAAAGTTCAGAATGCTGTCGTCACAGAGGCCAGTCTCGGAGCCTCTTCCACCAAAGCTGTTGCAGGCCTTTCAGCTTGTAGTCGCTTGATGTAGGGGCCTGAATATTTGGAATAGGGTTTTGAAAGCTCCTTATTATGACTATAGTGACCACAGTATAATATACCCCCAAACCCGAGTCTAACTATGAAGGCTCATCATTCCAAAGTGACCTTGAGACCCTGAGGTCCGCATCCCTCAAAAAGCTCCTGATCGTACCCTTTTATACCCTTGATGATATAAGTCCTGCATTACACATATTAAGGAATCTACCAGAATTCCCATAGTTTCGGGTCCTTAAGGTACTGCAGGAATTATATCATCAACAATAGTAACCCGCTCTGACACCCCAGTAAACAAACCTGGAGATTTTCCGAAAGTCCTAAACCCTAAACCCGTACTGTTGTTACCCTAGAAGCCTATGATCCGCCCCAAGCAGGATCCCTTAACCCTAAACCCCTAAACAAGAAACCCTAAACCCCTACACCCTAAACGGTGCCCTTACTAGGAAGGATTATAGAATCCCTTTAAAGAAGCCCTAAAACCGATAAGATCCCTCCTTGAGGCTCCGCGAGGAGGTGGCGACGGCGAGCCGAGCTTCTGCGCCACAGCCACCTGCTGAGCCGCGGCCCAACGCCAGAGGCCTCGACTTCGCTTTAGAGTGTAGGGGTTTAGGGAATCGGAAAAGGCTACGTCCAAAAAAGGCTCCTGAAGAGGTTCTACAAGGGATCTATAGGCAATGAAGTTGCCTACTGTACTTGAAGGATCATGGGACTTAGTAAGTAAGGTTGAAAACTCTAAGTGATAGATAGTTACCCTGTTGCAACAACCCCAGTTGCTACATCCGATCCTTTGAGTAGCCTCGCTCTCCCTCTCGCTCTCCACCCTTTGTCTGTGGGTGTGAGTGTCTGTACATACACGGTTATGCGCAAATGTATACACTGTTGACGCTGTATACATATGTTTTTTGTAAATACATACATATATATATATATATATTATGCCAGTTGTTGTACCATGCTTGTAATCATCTCGATGTGTTTTTGGAATCTCTGTGCTTGATGCTCTGAAGTTCCCATGGAGTACCAAGTTACGGCAGCTTTCAGAATCTGTAGGACAGTTATGAAACCGAAAGCACAACCCCTGCATACCCAGGGGAGTATTTCCAGCCTTGCCAGGCCGTGCTAGTCGTGGCGGCGCCTCTGTGGATGTGCTGACCATTGGTGTGGGTCCGGGAGGTCCCCTTTCGGGTTTGGGTCTTAAAGGCTTTTCGAGTTTTCAGGGGTTTCAGGGCTTAACAGGTTCATAGTTGGCTCGGGGCTTTAAGGGTTTGATGGCTTGGCGCTTTAAACGGCTTTGTGTAGGGTTTGGGGTTGGGTCTTTGCGTGGAGAGATTTTGGGATTTAGGATTTCGGGTTTGGGAGGTTCTTTCTTGTCAGTGTAGGGATCTGTGCTTTGGGGTTTTTATATCAAACCAGAGGGTTTGATGACGGAAAACAAGCGCCTTTATAATTGGAATCGGGTGCCTGTTCAGGCTCCTGCAAGGCTTTGAGTGCTTCTTCTGTAAATTGAGGGTTATTGGTCGACAATGTAGTAGACTGATATACGGACTGTACAGTAAGAGGACACGATTTCAAGTTTTTTCGACTTCAACATGCCTGACTCCAAGGTACTTTCTATTTCTGTGTCGCAGAACTGCACGTCGCAGTACTATGGAAGCCTGCATGCATGCTTAGGAATACCATTTGCTTTGGTTCCGAATTTAACTATACCATACTATACTATAGCCACAATCGCTGTACTAAATGTAAAGGCCCCGCGATTTCGTACTGCTGTTCCCTGCAGGAGAAGATGTCGAATGGCACAAAGATGCTTCGACGAGCAGACAGTGAAAAAAAGTCAATAAAACCCACCCAAAAGCTTAAACCCTAAAGCCCAAAAACCCAAGCCCTAAACCTTAACCCCCAGCTTTCTGCTGCGCAGATCTTACTCACATGTTGCTCCCAATTTCGCTTTGAGGATCATGATGTTGTTGCTTTGCCCGTTGCCGTCTCTGAACGAATGCCCGCTTGCGGGGTGTAGTTTTGTAAGCTTCTCTGTCATGTACTAAACTTACAGGATTTCTGGCACCACAGTCGAGTGTGGATGGGCAGAGCACTCGTCGAGATTAATATATTTTGGACAGAGGGGTTGGGTCGTGGTTTGGGACTAGCAAGAGGTTGACTGTGAGCTTGAAATGTTGGAGATTTTTATGATACCAGCCGAAACGTTCGTATTTTGTGCAACATGTTGAGCATTGGGGCTCCTGGTGCGCTCTCCGGTTGCTTTTGCGCAATGCTTCCTGCTTGCGGCCTGGTAAAGAAGATAGGGGCTTTTATTGGGTACTCGGATAGAATACAACCCCCAATCCGAATTCTTCTTGTTGAGATCATGAATTTTTCTATATGGATAAACAGGCGTTTCGTTGTTGGCATGCAAGTACATATACTTTTCAATAATTAAACATACGATATATATACATATATTTTTATATAATTTTTTTTCCTCTGGATGGAATAATTGATTTGAGGCTAGATAGTCACAATTCTCTTCTTGATAAAAATACGAAAAATGAACATAGATCCTTTTTGATTTTTGAGCGGTTTGCTTTTTCTTCTGAATAGTTTACTCTTGGCCGTACAAAATTATATTGCCGTATCTTGGTGGTTTTTTCTGACCCATTCTTGGTCGTAATAAATCGTGATTTTTTTGGCCTACTCTTGGCCTAACGAATCGTATTGTTGTGTCGGATCTTGGTGGGCTCTTTGTGGCCTATTCTTGGTCGTAATAAATCGTACTATCCAATCTGGCGGTTGTTTCTAGCGCACTCCAAATCGTTACTCATCGTGCCGCCGAATCTTCGTGGCTTCTTCTCTTCATTCTTGGGCCATAGGAAAACCGCCGGCGCCCTTGGTGGCTCTTTCTGACACACTCTGGCGGTAAAAAATGGTATTGTCGGGTCACTCTTGGTCATAATAAATCGTACAACCGAGTTTTGGTGAGTTTGTCTACTCTTAGAAAAAAGTGCAAACTGCCCAGTCTTGATGGCTGTTTTTGGCCCATTCTTGGTTGTAAATAGCATTGTCGATTCTTGGTGATTTTTTCTGGCCCAGACTCTTGACGGGTCTTGGTGGCTTTTTCTGGCGCACTGGCCCGAAAAAATCGTACTGCCGGGTCTTGGTGGCTTTTTCTGGCCTGCTCTTGCCCGTAACAAGTCATACTGCCGGGTCTTGATGGCTTTTTTCTGGTCTTGGTGGCTTTTTCTGGCATACTCTTGTAACCAAATCGTACTGGGTTTTTTAGCCCACAAATCGTACTGCCAATTCTTGGTGGTTTTCTTACCCACTATCGGGTCTTAATGGCTCTTTCTGGCCTACTCTTGGTCGCAACAAATCGTACTGCCGCGTCTGGCCAAAGAAAGCACTGCTGGCCGGAACGAATCGTATTGCCGTGTCTTGGTGGCTTTTTCTGTCCCGCGTCTTGGTGGCTGTTTCTGGTGCAGTCAAGGCTGTGGTAAATGGTACGGCGGGTCTTGATGGCTTTTTCTGGCCCATTCTGAATAGTAACAAATCGAACTGCTGAATCTTGATGGGTTCTTCCATGTTTGGCCGTAACACTCTTGGCCGTAACGAATCGTGGTGGCTTTTTCTGATTCATTCTTGGCCATAACAAATCGTCAGCTCTTGGTGGACTTGGTTCCCGATTAATTCAAATTATTGAGGAAAATTGTGTGAGGTGCTCAGGAATATTTTGGATGCTAATTTCATATTCATATGATGTAGTTGCAAATTCTGCATGAAGATAAATAAAAATACGGAATATTTGGCTATTTATTCTGAAGATAAAAATGATCTAGGATTAAATATAATATTTTGATGAAGTATATTTGATTTTATAATTATTAATGATTTGGATTATATAAACAAAGGTTGAATCCATTTGAGTTTGTCATATTTTTGCATTCGTTTCAGTTCCTTTGTGTGTTTTCTCTTCGAAAAAACCAACAATATCGTTGCCGAAAAGCCCGGTGTGTCTGTGTAATCGTCGCAAGTACGTCCCTACAGTCGTTGCTAAAACGTTAACTTTATTTCCTTGCGGAACAAATTCAGTGTCTGCACTTGCCTCACGCCAAGTGGCTGTATCCATGTCCCTGCCGTGGCTTTTATCTAAAAACAAAAAAAAGAAATTGCTTCCTTGTGTCTCTGCGAAAACGTCAGACAAAGAAGAAAATAGAAAGAAAAAGAAAAAGAAATATATCATGAAATCCGAATTGTGATGGAAGGCATGACCATCCAGCTTCCGTTTTTTCCGATACTTATGTTGTGAAGATATCGGGTTGGGTGGACTTCAGGCAATAATTCACGTTTTTGCATTTGTATGGAATAGCAACTTATTATTCTCGCGCAACTCAGTTTTATCGATTTGACCGTGCACAAGTTGGAAGGTGCGCCTAGTTGCAGTGTTTAGCCTTGCGACAAAAGGAAAGAAGACAACGAATGACAGACAAACAGACTGACGGGCAGACACACAAATACTGAATTTTCGCCTACAAGCGCTCATCCATTGCACTACATATGAAAATCTTTATAATCGATAGCCCAGACAAATAGAGGAAGCACGATGTTGGCTGCAGTACAAAACTACAAAACGGCTATAATTTTTAATTCTTGATTCGGAAAATAAAATACAGAAGACTGCAACTGCAAAATTTCAGCAAATTTTCCGGATCGCCAAATTTCTAGAAGTCTGGGCTTAGCCCGCCGAAAAGGCTCCGCCCGCTTAAGCCCTAGATTTTAAATTTTGGGTTCCGGCAAAGCCCAATTTTGTTGCCGAAATCCAGAAATGCAGTGCTTCGAAGTGTGACGTATCGCATAGAGCTGCTTTGACCATATCATTAAACGAATCCAGAATAGATTAATCGGTGCAGGGCAAAGGCTACAGGGCATGTTGCCTTGATTTAATTTATTTAAACAAATGCCACGGCGGCCATAAGCGCTCTATGCAGCATGCTGGAGAAATTTGTAAATTACGGCGCACGAATCGGTTCGTGGAAAATTTAAAGCTCGGGCCTGTATTTCCTTCTGAATTTTTAAAAAATTGGAACGAACACTGTCGGATAACTTGGAGCCTCATCTTTGCATGCGGGTCATCGATTTTAAGCAGCTCCTTCTTCTGCGGCCACGCGTGACTTTCCAAATTGCCGAAGTACAACGCCGAAACGCAAGTCGCGAAAAAAATGCAAAACCAGGTTGCAAACCTTCGCCAAGCTTTCCCAACCAAACCACTTCGCGAAAAAGTTGATAAAACTATGACTTTGATTTTGCTTGCCAAATCCGATACTCAGCCGAGGAGACGACAGCGGAGCCGGCTGCATGTTTCATGTGTATGCTTCGGGAGTCTGGGTCAGAGCTCACCTCTAAACCGAGGCACTAGTCTGCCTTATCCTGTGGCTCGGAAGGCAATTGCCCGATGAATAAACCGTCTTACCTTTCACCTTTTGCGAAGCTTAAGGCTGGCTGTGGTGGCCGTCGTCATCCGTCGTCCTCACCATCTTTTATATGTCCGAGAGCAGATGAGCTGGCAGTTAAGCGCTGATGTCCCGGCGACTTGCACTGAAGGTGCAGAGTTGTGTTTGGGGCACAGCCATCCTTGACTGTAGGATGTCTCATGAACGTACAGCATGAGAAATGTTCCGAAGAGAACGTGTGCTGTCCAGTCAACATCACCTTTCTGAACGCCTTGCATGTGGGAGGCTTGCACCGCTTTCTGAGAGTCAAAAGGATAAGATGCGCCACTATATATATATATATATATTTACATACATACATTTGCTCGCGCAGCGCCCAATTGAAAATT